ACTTGCGCAATTGGTGGCTGACTAAATACTTTTTTGCCCCACTGTATATATATACATACATACATACATACATACATACATACATACATACACACACACACACACACATACATACATACATATATGGTAGACATTGTTGAAAATGAGTGGGAAGTGCAAATAATGTAGACAAGTGGGTTGAAGGAAGGCAGGGAAAGCTGCCTGCTAGGCAGTTACTGTAGAGTAGGAATATCAGATTTAGATTCAAAAATCCAGATGACAACTAGATGGCAACAAAAAGAGTTTTCTGTAACACTTTGTTGTCATCTAGTGGTTGTCTGGATCTTCAGATATGGTAGTGATGCCCTAGTGTAGAGAGTGAGCATCCACAAGGCACAGCTTCCTGTATCCATGGACCTGCTCCCTGTGAATGGGAATTCAAGAAATCAGCATCCTTAATTGGTAGAGAATTCCTATGGATAGAGAGGGACCCTCCACTGCAGATCTTCACCCTCTCCACATGGAGGGGCCTGAGAAGAGAATGAGGCTGGTATGTTGATTAAACAGGTAGGGAGCTACTAAGCATACTTGCCTGGCAGTGAGACCCACTGAACTCAGTGGGACATATTACAGAATAGACGTGCACAAGGATCCCCATGAACCTGTTTCTTGTTTGCAAAGAGAAGGGGGGAAATTATAGCAAATTTTAGTCTATGTTGATAAGGCTTTTTCTGCCTAATTTTTCCTTTAAATTCAGAGTTGTATTTTCCATTTGGGTAAATGTAGTATTTATTTACATCTGCTCATTTCATCTGGAAAAAAAAATGGCATGGAAATTCAAGGAAGGAAAAAATAAATGCATCTTGAGGTCTTATTGCTCAGATTAGATGAACAGGAAACTAAGAGACATTGAGCTTGAGACAGAGGGAGACAGCTTAGAAAATGTCCTTTGATTTTGCCTAACATCAAATATTGCAGTTCTTTCTATTCCCACAGAGTGGGAAGAAGATAAATCTTCCACAAAAACTCCTTTCTCAGAAGAAACACATTTTATGAAAGACAATTGCTTTTTAAAAATACACAAAATGAATCTTAGGAAGACTGGCTTGAAAAATTATTTGTAGCTTTAGCAAATGCCTTCTGGTAAAGAATAGAAATTTATTCAATAAACCATGATCAAATGAACTATGACTTCATGGTTCAACTAAATCACTCTATCTCTGAAGGTCTATGGAGTTTTTGAAGGAAAAAGGCAATATTTTTCACACAGTACATTAATTAAAACAGGTAGTTGGCTTAATTAACTTAAGTTAATTAAGTTAATTAAACCAGGGTTGACTCAATTAACCCAGTTCCTAGGTTCACACAGCACTCACATCCTTGGGTTTGGACTGCAGCAAGTTGCTCTGTATGGGGATGCCGTTGAAGACTTCTCAGAAGCTTCAGCTAGTTCAGTGTTCAGCAGCCCAAGTGGTCATGGATAGACCAAGATTCACTCATGAATGTATGTATGTATGTATGTATGATTAAATTTGTATGTAACACCTTTACTACTGGACCTGCATTGGCTGCTAGTTATCTTTCAGGTGCAAGTCAACTCTGCATGGTTCAGTTCCTGGGTTTGCTGAGACTACCTTCTCTGGGTTGAATTTCCCTGCCCATTAAGAGCAGAGAGAGGTTTGCTAAAGGTTGCTTCATCAATGCAATTTTACCTAGAGAATTCTCGGTGATGCCCATTCTTCTGTGGAACTGTCTATCCCCAAACATTTGGACCTTCCCTTACTCCCTAGTTTTTTGCCAAAAAGCAAGGAAAATATAGCACATCAGAAAAGCATTTGGGGACTGGTGAATGTTAATCTATACCTAAATGATGGTGCACTGGGTTGGTGGCCTGTATTGTTTTGACTTTAATTTTATGTCATAGTAGTGTTCAGAGTCTGTGAGAATTGAGCAGCATGGAAACTGAACACAAAAATAAGGAAAATAAAATGTCCTCAAACATGACCTGTGATTTAAATATATATATATATATTTCAAGGAAGAACGTACTTCTTTTAAGAACAATTTATTGAAGAAACTACAGAGGCTGGCTTCTCATATAATACTGCCATTAACATATCATCATCATCCATGGCTGGATTCACACAATATGGTGAGTCAAAACTCTGAAAATACAATAATAAACACAATCCCACCATAGTCCTTCTTCATATAGCACATAATTGATTTTCCATGAAACAAACACAATAATGGTCATTCTTGACTGATTTCAGTGTGGAAGTAACTACAGATGCCCAGGAGATGCAGATGAATTTTAGCTTTGGAAATAAGGACATAAGAACAGCCCTGTGAAATCAGCCCCAAAACTAATGTAATCCAATATTTTGTTTCTGTCATTCCTCTGATATGGAAGTCCACAGTAAGAGAAGGACATAAGGTGGGAGAGATGAAGAAACCTGTTTTAGGACATCATTACACAAATAGTACTATTTATATACTTGAATCAGACATTGGGGTGCAAATACATAAACACAGAATTTTTGTGATGATGTCACAGCACGTGCACTGTATTTACATCACTTTAGCTGGCTGCAGATGCCACTGCTCTCTGAGTTGCCTATAAGTGTAAGATGGAGGCCAACCCCTCTCTCAGCACTGTTCCCCTGCAACTGGAATTTGGAGGCCTGGTGGCCCCCAACCTAGAGGTAACAGTGAATCTTCTGGACTGATAACCCTTAATGCACCCATCGTCCATAAATTTATCCAACCCCCTTTTAAAGCTGTCCAAGTTATAAGCCGTTACCATAACTTGTGATAATGAATTCCATAGGTTAATTTTTCATTGTGTGAACTATAGTCTGTTCCAAACTATATAACATCATCTGTTTAGTCTGTTCTAAACCTCCTTCCAATCTCCTTCCCCTAATTCTAGGGTTTTGAAAGTTTTCTCCTTGTCCAGATCCTACACACAATGTGTCATTTCATACACCTCAGTCAAATCCTCTCAGTCCTTTTTTCCCAAGCCAAAAAAGTCCCTAATGTCCTAGCTTTTTCTTACTGGGAAGGCTTTCAAGGCCTCTGATCACTTTGATTGTCTTCTTCTGCCTTTTTCCCAGCTCTATTATATCGTTCTTCGATTGTGTAGGAAGTTATGCAATCATAACTTTCTACGTAATCTCAGATGTGGAACTGGGCAGAGCTCTCAGAGACAATATGTTTAGGGCTACATCATGAGGAAGGATGGGTGCCCTCCTATCCTGGTTATGAACTTTCCTGAATTATTCTGCTGGCAACTCTGGGAAGCGGAATGATTAACCAATCTGGTCCATTCTGGAGGAACTCAAAGCTAATAGCCAAAACATTGTTGGCTAGTTTGTGGCTCAGCGTTGCTGTCTGAACTCAGGCAACCAGATTAATGAAGTCAGCCCTGGTTCCATTAACTATGGGCTAGCTTATTAGTAGGATCCTCCAAAATATACCTTCCTTGTAATTTTCCATCCATTGGCTTTAGCTCAGTTTTTCCTCTAGTCAAGAAAAGGTCACCTGTGTCCTTCCAGAGCCTGTCCTTCAATAATAAGCCTGTTGCTTTAACAGGAGTAAATAAACGAGGAGAGAGATAAAAGGGCGTGGTTAGCGACAAAAGGGAGGAGTTTTAACCCTAAAAGCAACAGTGCCTACCAAATACTTCGCTCCCCGTTTTTCCCCCTTCTTGCACGGGAGCAAAGCAGGTAGCGCATTCCTTTCCTTCGCTCGCGGCTTTCCCGAGGGGTGGGCGAGGGGGGCAAAGAGGCCGTCCAGAGCTGCGAAGCTCAAGGCTCCGCTGCCCTTTGGCGGGGGCCGCTTGCCACCGGGCGGAGTCACGGGAAGATGGAGGGGCCGGGATGGGGAGGGCGAGGGAGCTCGCAGGCGCTGCCTGCCTACCTGACGAGCCAGCACAAAGAGCGAGGGAGAAGAGGCACGGTGGCTCCCCCCGGCCCGCCCCAGCCTCAGCGCGTTGGAGCTGGGGAGCGGGGCGCCGTTTTCTCTCCGTCCCGCGAGGGGAGCCTTCCTGCCCTTCCCGCGACGTCCTCGCCTCGCCTGGGCGGACTGGAGCCTGGGTACCGCTGACTGGTCCTTAGGCGGACCTCGGCGGTGATGTACTGACCACGGAAGGGAGCGCGGGGCGCCTCCTGGGCAACTCTCGGGGCGCTTTTCCTCTCTCCCTCGTTTATCTTAACCCTCCTTTTTCGCTCTAAATTTAACAGTTTTGTAAAGACTACCTGGGGATCGGCCGGGCAGGGCGAGGCGCGAACCAAATAAAC